TTACATTCAACTTGTCAAAAGTCAGTGAAAATAAATTCCAAACAAAACACCCAAAAAGTCTTTACAGTGAAAATTAATTGCAGCTAAAATAAATAAGCTTTCACGTCATATTTGTTATCACTTTCACGTCTTGTATATCATTGTGCTTTTTACCACGCCACACCGAATTCCTAGCAAATTTCCTCTTATTTATTATCTCTACAGACATATTGGTGGGCAGTGGTGCTGATGGGTGTTGGTTTGATTATTGTCATGGGGCTTTTCATCAAAATATGCAGTGTAGCAACGCCGAGCAGCAATCCAAAGTTGCCACCTGCACGCACCCTATCACGGAAAAATCGTACCAACCAAACGCGTGCAATGGAATTGCAGTGAACATCTATTGCCGTATACTACTTAATAGGTTGTGGTGTTTTTCAATTTGCAGTGTTCCCTAGTTGTCACACTGCGTGTTTGAATATCGTGTAAAAAGTGTAATTTCATCCAATGTGGAGTGCCTGACATATACTTTATTACAATACCCTCATGGTTTTATTTTTGGAACTTTTTGTAGTTTTTAAACACATTTTTCTCTACTATCATGGCACTTACCATATTGGCTCTATTAGTATGGCATGCATTTAAGTCAATTACAGAACTCTGTCTGGGTAACATATTTTAATAATCCAGCATACAATAAATTCAATTCTAATAGAGCATTTACAGTATTTGTTAAATAATTGATTAGCGGGGTGTATATTGCCACTGCTGTTGATATCTGGGTGGTAAATTGGGCTTGGATAAATTGGACATACTTGTACATTTTGAACAAATATTTGTAATTTTTTATATGTATACACTGTATTAGGAACTGGTTAAAAAAATTAAAATAGAACTGGTAATTGTACTTTTGATATAAACTTGGGTGCCTTTTTCTGTAAACCAGTTTAAATTTAATTTTTTTTAGAGAAAAGTGGGTATGGAGCTTGCGCTTTCGATAATTTGATATGTGTGTCACCTTGATTAAACCTACCTTTTCCATGCTATGAATGGAATTGTCCTTATACATGCCAGTGTCTGATTTTGTTTTAGTGAATTTTTGATTTATTTCTTTTTAGTGTTAAATTAGTATTTTAGGGATGTTCAAGTTTATTTATTTCATTTGACACATTTGTATAATACACCTATCCTACTTTGCATACAATTGAGCCCCCTAGCCAGCCTACTTGCATTTCAGTGTGTCCCCTAGCCTACTTGTCATTCTAGTAGGCCCTCTAACCTACTTGTCATTCTAGTAAAGCCCCCTAGCCTACTTGTCATTCCAGCCTACTAGCTTACTTTGAATTCTGATGAGCTCTCCTGCCTATTTATAGTCAACTATAAAAGGTTCTGTGTTTCTCTTGAAAAAGAAAAAATCATGAATAATATCAATGCTAGTAATTATTTAAGAGTGAATTGAATTTATAGAGCTGTAGAAGAAAAGACTATATTCAGATTTCCAAACTGAATGTTCGAGAGAGCCAATTTATGTGTTTTTTTAGAAATTAGAGGTTTACACTCTGAAATGAGAAATTTTCCAAATCTAGAACACGCTTAAGAAGCTCAATTTGTGCATGTCTTGTTATAGGGTTTACCCTATCGCAATATTAAATGAGAATGCTTTTATTTTGTCTTTGTAGATGACTCAATACTGCAGTGTGTCAGTGTTATTTGGTTCTCTTTGTGTGTGGGAAAGTGTTTTTTAGTTTCCAATAGAACACATCAGGTGCATGTCAGTTGTTTATTTGATGTGTGGTTATTATGTGACATATTCATTTTTACTGTTTGGTGTAGACTGTCGACAGTTCTTGGCCTAATTTGTATTTGATTTAGTATACTAAAAAATTAAGCCTGAGGACTGTCGACAGTCTGTTTGGTGTTACGGTTAGGTAGCATTGATTTCAAAATCTGCAGAATTTTCAACAGTATTTTCCATCCTCAGAATCCAAGTCAATGCAAAGCTGCTTAAAAGCTTGTACCTGATTGGCTACCCAACCATAACACCCAACATTTGGACCAATTAGAGAGCAACTTGTTTGTTGCAGGATCATTTCAAAGTATCAAATTCTGCCTTGTATATATATGCTTCAACTGAACTGGAAAAATCCTAGTCTTTGCAATGCTGCATCAAATACCTTAGTTTGAATATTTATTTTCATAAGCCTAAATGGCCTGGTACTTACACTAAACTTTTACATATTCCCACAACAAATGTTCCATTATAAGTAATCTTATCTAACACATCACCTGCTCCACAGGTATATAAATAAATGGTAGATAATGTCGGCAGACCATCTGTAAATTTATTGACGAGACATGATGCAAGTCTTTTGTTTTATGAAGATTTCAGTTTTACTTTCAAACGTAATCTGTTGATGTAAAAATTATTAAATCTGCATTGCATGTACATGTTAAAGTTAATATTTTCTAGTTATTTTCTTCATCATTGTCATTGGGCATATTTGATTACTGAGGATTTCATACAAATTTATTTAAATGAGTTGTTTGTTTTTCTCCCACATTTTACCAGTATGTTGTGAAAGTCGCTGTTGGCACCGGTCAAAGAATGTCCATTTCTGTTTTTTCTAATTAGGAATAGATACTTTCTTTTAATACTAAATTTTTGGCAAGAGAATCATATTCAGAATTATTTTGTGCGGGTGCAGGATTATTTAGATGTGTGTGTCATATCTAAAGTAGATGATATTTTCCATCTGGCCAATCAGACTTATTTGTTTTGGTCAGATGACAAAATCTCAGATCATCTCTGAAAACATGGAATAAGTTCATTGTATAATAGGTTAAGTTTGCTTTTTGTTATTTATCAATATTAGTACAGTCGTATATGGGCTGCATGAACTGATTGGGTTACATTGTCAAATTTGTCTCCCCAAAAACTTGCGTAATCTTTTCTTGAGTTTCTTGTACAACTACTACATGTGTGTAACTAGGGGTGAGGGGTGCATATTTGGTTTTTCACATATTGATACTTATTATACAATGAATACCCACAATTATATGCAACCATAAATGTTTGAAGAATTGAGTTAGAATAAGGATTAACCAAGATTGGCTAATACACTGAATAAAGGTAGTTTCTTGAGACAAGTTTTAGTCTTGTTTGTACTAAAAACAAATGCGACACATTATTCAATTCACTATTTTCACAACTTTGTTGAAATTTGAACATTATGACACAATTCTCTAACTTTGATTGGGAATTTAGTGATTTAATGTTTTAAGACTGGGTTTTCAGTAAGTGATAAATGTTATTTATAAATATTGAGTTCTATTGATGAACAGACAAAAAAGTCTATCTCCCTGTAATTTGTAGCTCTCTGTAATTCTGAAATTTCAATAAAACAAGCTTTTTCAAAAAATGTCTACTGCTGTTGAAAGAGGGTGTGCCTGATGAAAATTTTAATAGTTCATATAAGGGTTACCCAGTAGGTTGAATATTGGACCCCTTTCTTGTGGTAAACCCATTCTTGTTTTTTAAAATACCGCATGACACTTTTAATCCTTAACCTGACAATCTCGTCTTGAACCAGCTACCTTCAATTAGTTTTCTTTCTGACATGACACCTTGACCTGGGAATCTTATTTTTGAACTCTGACCTGCCAATATGTCCTCTCTGACATCTGAAAAAATATGGGTAAATCAAAAGTTAATTGAAGGTCAGGTTTAATATGAAACTTGCAGCTATGTGTGACATGGGGCTGAGAGTGGTTATTTCCAAGTAAAAAAGTTAGGGACAGCCAAATTGCAAAAAATCTGCAAAAAATGTATACACCTTCAAAATGTTATTTACTCATTTATTAGATAAACATTCAAGAATTTGTATTCTGATGTAGTGCTTTTAAATCAAATATATATTCATTCTTAAGAAAAATGAGGCCAGGGGTTGTTGCAGCTATTACTGTAAAACCTGTATTAGAAGCCGTGTCTTTTATTAAAATGGTACAATGCAACAGGGGGTAAGACTGGAGCATCTACATATATGGTGAATTTTTGGTTCTCAATTGTTCAAAAAGGGAAGGTGTGGCTTATATTAGGGATGCGGCTTCTAATACAGATTTAACGATGGGTGTTCAATCATTGTTTTGAAGAAAACCGCTCATTTTGGGGTGTGTAGCATGCTTACACATGACTGAAATAACTACAATGGTACAGGATCTAAATATTACAGACACGTACAAATATGCTAGTCTTGGCTTGTTGCGGCGCTGATATAATTTTGAAGTTTCCTGGTGAACAAATTTCTCATTACATTTTATGAACAGTTTGGACAACTGATTAATAATAACTTTTGTCCTGCATGTCACATGACCACTCCCATAATCCAATTTATCGAGGTAAGAACTTAACTCTAAGGCACTCTGATAGCGTAAACAGCGTTCTAATATTTCTACCCTGTTTTATTATTGTATCTTCTCACAAAACACCTGTAGTTCCCACTTTCTTTAATATGAAAAAAAAGGAATGAAAGTCAAATCTTTGGGTAGATGTTAATTTCACTCAACAACTCTAACAGATGTATATCCATATAAAAATTATGTTGTTCGGGACCCAATGAGTCTAGGGAAAGTGTTCCCAAGCATCCAATATACAGTAGACTCTATAGCACAAAAAAGTATTACTTATTTCACAGTCCTTCTATGCGTATATATACAACAAGTGGCACCAATGCATATACATGTATATCTAATATCCTAAATAAAACTCATTTCATAGGCTTCTCCCACAGTCACTTGG